AATAAACTGACCCCAGACAGAGGAGACCAGGCTGCTGAGCATCAGGATGCAGCAGATCATCTGGTCCTGTGAGAGGAGACACGGGGAAGAGTCAGAAACACAGGACGAAGAAGGAAACTCTCCAGTCTGACTTCATTCAGTCATTACAACACCTGATCCTGTTCATCGTCCTGTTTGTTACTCACCACTGACCTAAAGCTTTTCTGACAAACGCCACAAACTCTGAACTACAACCACTGGTGTCGACTGGCAGATTAGAGACAAACCTACTGGTTGGTCGTCTCTGGAAACACTGGACATTTTAAGGTGTTCGCTGTTTGCAGGAACATGTTTCTGCCACCAGGTGACGCCACCTTCACCTGCATTGCTGCTATAAGCTGTCTTCTATTAGACCTGAACCTCTCTGGTGAATCTAACATTAGTTTCTGTGGGTGCCAGTCCACAACAGCCTCTGTGTCCACAGTGTGTGTCAGCTGTGTCCTGCAAGCGTCTGATGTCTGAGTGAGGTCTTATAACAAAATGTGGTTAAAGATCAAATGTAAAACTTATGCATTTTATTAAAATACAGTCAACTATTTTAAACAAACTCTACTTTTACATGGTTTGATTGAGACTGTAAACTACACGTCCACACAGTGAGGGAAGGTGTCACACACCTCCTTATCTACTCTGCTCTGTGTTTACTCTCAGGTAAAATCTACACCAGATTCCCGTGTGTAGACTCGATACGACTCCATCAGCAGCAGCATCAAGTCTTTTCTTCCACACAAGCTGACTGACCTCACAATCCAGATGTGTCTCCAGGATCATGTGAAGACAGTCAGTAGCTGTAGCTGCTCAGTGTTGATGCTGTTGGCTCAGTGTGTTGGCGGCAGCAGAATCATCCAGTTGGTCAGTCGCTCTGGTTCCAGGTAACACACGGGAATAATACACAAACTGTATGATGACACCTTCAGTTTTATTTCTACAAAAACAAACTACCAACAACTGCAACTGTCTGTACTAATGAGACACATTACCTTGTCTTCTGCCACAGGACAGGACTATCTTGGCGTCAATAACTCTGAACGTCTCTGTACCTTACTGGTGGAACAAGCTGAATGTAGGCGGGGTCTTATTGGTGACGAAATGGCAGGAGGGCCAATGGGCAGTGAGGGTTCTGTATGTGTAAAAAATGGAATTTGTTCGATACCCTGACACACGTACGGTGTAAGAACAGGTCCACTGGTGGAAACTATACACCAGGAAAGAACAAGGATTAGCTTTCAGAAGAAAGTGAAATTTGAACAGCTGCAGTTCTATGGCAGTGGAGCAGGTAGTGAGTCTTTTGGTAAATCAAAAGACCTGATCAGACTTTTCAGAGCACAGGACTGGAGTATGTACCCAGGGTTAAGCATAAACTTTCAGTCACAGTTACATGTAAAAAATAATGTAATAAAATAAATTGACTATGAGGCAGCAGTCAGAAAGCACCAAATTACTTTCTCATCCTGTCCAGCCACTGGTCTTTGCTTAAACGTTCTTATTTGGGGCAGTATATTTTCCCTTATGTTGACTATGACCCGATGCTTCAGTGCGAAACCGATTTCCTGCAAGTGTTAAATGTGACATTTGGATTTTTGTGCGTCCAGTTGTGTCACTACTGATGCTTTCAGTGGCAGGTGGAATGACGACAGGTTGAAGTGTGTGAACAGACACGGATACCAAGAGGACTGGAGTCACTAGCTTGGCTTAAAAAACTCTGAACTTCTCTGTACCTTGGAATGGAACAAGCTAGAGGCTGAAAGGAAATAACCAGGACTGGATAGGATGAGCCTGAAGGTGAGCGGGGGCAAGCATGGGTGGCGAAATGGCAGGGGGGGCCATGGGGGGGGGGGGGTCTTTTAAAGGTGGGACCAGGTTAACTAAATGTGAGAAAACTAGAGTGTTATTTTTACATTCGGCGCCCCATATTACAGAGGGGGAAAGATAAACTCCAGCAGCCTGATCAGTCGTAACAGATTCCATTAGAAACAGGACTCTACCTGTGTGACTCTGTGTGACAATTAACAGGCTACAGAAAATAAAGAGACATTCTTACCTGCTCTGTGTATGTTGGCTCAATGTCACGGCTGTTCCTACAAGATTTCTATTCTTTTGACATAAAAACTGTCGCAGGTAACATCTACGCCAGATTGTCGTCTGTAGACTCAATACGACTCACTGGTAAAGGACTGTGCTCCGTATTTACACACAGCTCTGACAGCGCATGCAAGAATGGGCCCCGCCCTATAACAGTCATGGGGCATGGCCGTCCTTTACCAGTGAGTCGTATTGAGTCTACAGACGACAATAGGGCCCGCCCTATGCAAGAATAGGGCCCGCCCTATTCTTGCATCTCACTGATATGCTAATTTTTGTTCTTTCCTGCACAGTCTGCACAGAGTTGGATACACCCACCCTACACACACACTCAGAGAAGGACGACTCAGACTCCACAGGCCTTCCTGCTCTGACGGAACTAAACTGACTCACTTCTTACAGAAATCTTTCTTCTTCACTGACACAGATTGTTTGGTCTCTTTACAGCAGTGAGGGACCGGCCTGAACCCGAGACAGAACCTGAGAGACCAGACTCAGCAGGTCGAGGAAGGATCGGCCTCTACTGTGGAGCTGGACTGACAGCAGCAGCTCTACTGACTGTTTGTTTCTTTTATTCTTTAAGTGTCGGACTGGAAAACAAGATTTCTACCCAGAGTCCAGTGGTGGATCAGTGGGAATGGTTTGATCAACAAACAAGACAAGACTGAATTCCACTTGTACACCACAGACAGAATGTCTTGGTGTTTGGGTTTATCGGCAGAGTTGCATGAAACACCAAGACAGAAGAAATTTATTTAAACAAAGTCATAAAAATTCAG